TTAGAATCTAGTTGACATTTTTATACTTTACATACTATAATATATAATAACAAACTTCTTATCATTATTATAAATTGTCTCCATTAATAATAAAATTCCCTCTGGCCGTCATTATTGGAATGTTGCCGATTAGTATTAGTTCACTTTTGGATTCTGCGGGGGTTGTGCGTCGTTGTGCAAGGTTTGCAGAGATATACTTTTAAAAACTGTTATAATGAAATGATTGAAATCTCTTTAATAAAAGTTTTAAGTTTAGGCTCTAGAGTTGATACCCTGGTCATACCACGGTGTCGTCCTGGCAATGCCATGGTTAATCAACAGAGGAATAATCTGTTTTGGTGTTTCAAGCGTACTTGCAACCGCACTGTGCGCCATACCGTTCGGCGCTGTTCAGCGCGGCGCCTGCTTTTGCGCCGCACCAGCGGCAGTTTCCGTTTTTTTTTGTTTTTTTTTGCTGTTTTTGCAGATACAGAAGAGTGCAACAAAACACCCAAGGAACTGATCTTTTACAAGTACAGTCGTACAGATTTTTCTTTCCGTCCAATTGGGACATCAGAGAAATAGCCTCAAAAAGGGGTGTGGGACATAGTCTTGACCTTTAGGTAGCGGCATTACCCTCCCACCAGTTTTTTGTTTTTCTCTGTCCATCCCACAACAAGTCTTTAAAGGGCATGCAGGTGACCATTGACCCAGCCATGCGACCCCTTTTTTTTGTGTGTGAATGTTTCCCCCGTGCACTGCACATGCTGTGTGCCGCACCGTGTGGGTCCCGGTCGTGCGCCAAACGTGCGGAATTTTCTGCACGGCGTCCGTTTGCATGTATGGTTGCAAGTAATGCAACTCCATCCCCCATTTTCGTCAACACGATTTGAGGATAGTATTTTTTCATCAGGAGAATTCCATCAATGGCAGACCTAAGGCTATAGTACTACCTATGAGCAAAGCCCATTTTGATTTCACATATGAGGTTTTTTTGTGCATTGTATTGATTTAAACCAGGGCTTGTAAAAAAAAAAAAAAAAAAAAAAAAAAGAAGAAGAAGAAAAGAAAAGAAGAGAAAATAGGGCCTGTAATGCCTATCACTCAGTCATCTGATAGGAATGACAACACTCTTGCTGTTTCCTTTGATGTGCAGTTGCAACTCCAGCGGATGCTGCCCTGATGATGCAAATGGGATGCGATGGCGTGTTCGTTGGATCGGTAAGAAAATGTCCTAATGTCCTGTCAAGCCGTGCAAAATTGCAAATTAAATTATTTAACATTTATACTAATTTTAGTCTTTTTTGGAATATGTTGTATGAAACCAGACGAAGATGAAACATGTCGGGGGGAACACAGGTGTGGGGCAGGCAGGGCTTCAAGGGAGCACAGGCGGAAAAGCGGTTTCAAGTTGAGGAAAAACATGCAGAAGTTCTCTTGCGACGCGGAGGGAAAGCTTGTGTGCGTGGGTGGGGATGAGGGGCGGCGGCAACTACTTTTCCAGGGATTTGTCGGAGAGAGTTCATGGATGACTCTGTGCATTGGCATGTGAGGGCATCAGAAGAGAGGTTTCCATGCCAGCAAAAAAGGGACAGATAACTGGTGTGTGGAGGTGTGGGATGCAATGTCAGCCCGGTGGTCGGTCGATGTGATGTGATCAATCTCCACTTGCTTCCATCGGCTACCCCAAAATGTGTAGTGAAGATCGTTTGTCGTGCGCTGGTTGGATGCCCTGACAATCGTGCTTGGTTGGGGTTGAATTGTTGCAGCGAGTTAGCTAGCCCTCATGTGCACTTCGGGTCGAGTTTATTCCTGGCATGGCATGCTAGGACATCAATGAATGTCCATTGTCCATGCTGGGGTGGGGTGATGTATTGCACATCGGTCTACATCGGCCTTCTCTTTCACCCCAGATCACTTTACCTATCTTTGAGTGATCCACCGCCTTGGTGGCAGGTCACAGGTTCAAACCATAATTGCGGCGCATCAATGCGGTGCGCCATGCGGTGCGCCATGCGGTGCGCTGCACGGTGCGCGGTGCGCACCTGCGCCGTGTGCGCACCCGTGCGCGAGGCGCGCGCACTGATGCGCAGTGCGCCGGTGCGCTGGGGCGTGCGCGTGAAGAGCGCACTTTCGCGCATGGTGCGCCGTGGTATACATGGATTTTTTTTTTTTTCCTACGTGATACACCGAGTTGTTACGGGGAACCCCGTGTAGAGAGAGAGAGAGAGAGAGAGAGAGAGAGAGAGAGAGAGGCACAAAGGACAAATAATATGGCGGTGTATCTTTCCATGTTCTGGCGGAAGATTCATTCATTCGTTGGGTGGTGGAGAGCAAAGGGCCGATGAATCAGGTAAGCACGTAACGTATCTCTGGAAGCTTTCTTTTTTTTTTTTGGAGAATCTTTGAACAAATGAGACTGAATCCTCCGCTTGAACATGGAAAGATACATTTCCATATATGTCTCTTGTACATGTCGAGATGATATGGCGGTGTATCTTTTCATGTTCTGGCGGAAGATTCACTCATTCGTTGGGTGGTGGAGAGCGAAGGGCCGATGAATCAGGTAAGCACGTAACGTATCTCTGGAAGCTTTCGTTTTTTTTTTTTGGAGAATCTCTGAACAAATGAGACTGAATCCTCCGCTTGAACATGGAAAGATACATTTCCATATATGTCTCTTGTACATGTCGAGAGTAGTGCAGCGAGCCGGTTGGTAAACATCACCGTTGAGGTTCTGACAGGTTGGACGCGCCAGGCTTCATTCTGATGTTCTTCGTTTACGGTTTTTTCTTTTTATTAAAAAAAAATCCAGGAAAAACGGCTGCCAGTTCCGTCGTTTTCTACTTCAGAAGTAATACGAAGAGAACGTTTTGAGAGATCGCAACCCTCATCATGACTGAATCTGGCCTGCAAGAACCCTACCATACAGACTGCAATTACCGTTGAGGTTCTGACAGGTTGGACGTGCCGGGCGACACTCGTGCAAAGAAATTCTGTTTTTCTTCCTTTACGTTTAAAAAAAAAAAAAAAAAAAAACATTCCAGGAAAAACGGCTGTCAGTTCCGTCGTTTTCTACTTCAGAAGTAATAAGAAGAGAACGTTTTGAGAAATCGCGACCCTCATCAYGACTGAATCTGGCCTACAAGAACCCTACCATACAGACTGCAATGGGTCGGGTGACCCAGGCCAAATCCTTGGTCTATGGGTCGGGTGACTTAGGCCAAGACATCACCCGCTTGCCACCCACCCAGCGGGTGACCCAGGTCAAATCTTCACCCGCCCGTCACCCAGAAAGGCATGCTGGTTGTGCCCGCCCATAACCCACCCAAGACAGCTCATGTAGACCCTAAATCCGACCCCTCACCCTGTGGGTCGGGTGGGTGCAGGTGGGTGCGGCTCTGGGCACCCGGTGCTCAACTCTGCTCCTTGTTGATCAGTTCGTTATAGCTATTCGTGTTTATGAGTGGCTGTGTTCCTTCGGCACTTGGACGCACGCTTTTTTAGTGTGGTAGATAATTGAAAGGGTGAAATAGAAGAAACAAAAGTGAAGAGAAAAAAAGAAAGAGAGAGAGAGGGTGAAACAGAGAACTTGTTAGCAAATGGTAAAATGGGGACTGACTGGTATTCTTGCAGGCCAGTTTTCTATGATAGCATCATAGCGATTCCATTATATGCCTTGAGCCCAAAAGTCTGAAAGTCTGAAAAGTCAAGTCTGAAAAGTCTGAAAGTCTGAAGATCTAAGCTCTAAGCTAAAGTATATTGCCACTCACTGAGTAAGAGGCACTTCTGTGTTTCAAGCTCTGATCTGAAGCTCTATTTTATTTGATGTCTGTGTCATTGCGTCTATACTCTATAGCCGAAGCAAGTTTAGCAGTCAATGTGAATTATTGGTGTGCGGACCGTCGAATCATTTGATGGGCTTATCATTTAATGGTCTTATCATTTAATGGGGCTTGTGATCCTTGGGGGGGGTGCATTTCGAATAACAGGGCATTTTCAAGAGTGGTGACCCAAGGAAGCGTGCGTCTGCCATTGTACAAGCAGTCACACACTTCGACGGTACGTATGGAAGAACGGATTCCTTGCCAATCGTTTTCGAGAAAGGTTATCTGACGGGGTCAGCCAGCTTCTTCCAAAGGTGTTTTTCTGTTTTTTTTTTCTTTACAAATTTTATGGAGCTCGATCGAATGTCTTAAATTTATTTATCGATTTTATCTCCTTTTATGCTGCTGCTGGTTCCTGATGAGATGCGCTTTTAGAAGATAGGTGATGAAAATGATTAGGAACTTGAAGGAAGTTAAAACGTTTCAAGAGTGCGGAGTGGGTTGAAGATCATGATGAATGGTCTTGTTGGGCGGAGAGTGGATAATGGCGCTCAGGCATGTGTGCGGTCGCAATTGTGCTACTGTCCTCCCCAAACACAATTCACCCTCCTTATGACTGCCAATGGCCAGAAAGGTACGTAGTAAACATCCACGATAAGGGTGCCTTGTGTTCGAGTAAAGATGGTACTACTCGAAGATGATGACTACATGATACATTCATGAGAAGTGATTGCTTGATCGGGATACTAAATCCCCTCCCTCCCCCCCTTTCCTCCTCTCTCTCTCTCTCTCTCTCTCTCTCTCTCTCTCTCTCTCTCTCTCTCTCTCTCTCTCTCTCTCTCTCTCTCTCTCTCTCTNTCTCTCTCTCTCTCTCTCTCTCTCTGTGTGTGTGTGTGTGTGTGTGTGTGTGTGTGTGTGTGTGTGAAAACATGTACCCACCCCCACCTTCAACAGTTCTTGACTTCTTACCCAAATTGCCTCCTGCTGCTCCCATCCCTTCCACCCTCCGGTCTTGCCCCGACACCCTGCCAGGCACTGGCACAGGCCTTGAGGTATCGTCATGCATCTGACCTTTATCGTTATTGTATTCATCTGGTTCGTAAAAGGACTAGGAACAGATGATCTGTTTACGAACAGCTACATATGTGTAGTACTGTGTACAATACGCCAGGCTCCCTGGCGTCTATCATGTCTTTTGTCTTGCTGACATAAAAGAGACATTTTGATTCAATTGAAAATCACTTTATTGAAGTTTATTCCTTTGTGACCCTGGTGTTTACCTGTCTGCCCAATGTACCCTATGATTTCGGAACAATTGCGCAATAACCCTCTTAGCCGGCGGGTTCACTTTCGCTCTGCTCGCAAGGCGATAGAACTATTTGGAGGGTTAATAGTTGTAATTGACGATGCTCAGCGCATATGCTCATGTATTCATGTATTCAAGGGACGCTGGACCCGATTTCCAGCAGGCGATGGAGCTGCCACCAGCAGGCCTATTAGGGAGGGCTGTACATCTGTGTTTGTTTTTTCCAAATTTTTTGTTGTTTTTTTCTGGACTGTTGAGCAGACCCGAAAATACTGGCAGCGGTGAGTTGTGAGCTGGGAGAGGCAATGGTTGGTATTAAACCTCCACCAGTACCAATCCCTGCCTGAAAAACAAATGCCCGCCGGTTAACACAGGAGGCGGGTGGGTTTGGAAGTACCGGCCTGAAATGGCTGGTGGCGACAGCCAAAACGAGTGACGTGTGGGTTCGTTTTTTTTGTCGCGCAGGTGCATTTTACTATGATCAACAACAGCTGAGAAAGGTACTGGTGTTGTAACATTTGTGTTTGTCTTTCGGTTGTTTTTTCTGGACTGTTGAGCAGACCCAAAAATACTGGCAGAGGTGAGCTGTGACCTGGGAGAGGCAATGGTTGGTATTAACTGTTTCGACAAAGGATTGGAACGGTACGCGGCGCGATCGGAATGAGGGCCATAAGGGAGATGCAGCATGCACATTTATGGCGTGGAGCATCTTGAAGCGGCAGGAGGTGGAGTGAAGTTGGAAACACAATTGTTGAATACATACAAGACCTCAAAAAGAGTATATTTCTTTTGGTATTCAGATTCCGCAGGCAGATGTCAGTATGACCCCTCCTCTCCTCTTGAGAGCAAGAGCACCCCCCTCTAAAGCATCTTCAAGTGTGCGGGGCCAAATTAAATGCCTGAGATATCTGGCCGTGAAATGTGGTTTGACGAGAGCGGGAGTGCTGAAAGGCTATGTCCCCCCCCCCCCCCCCCCCC